TTTTTTTACAACTTTGCTGCCCTCCCCTTTCTTTACGTCACTCTCAAATTGTCAGATTACTGGAATATACACTTTTTAGCATGTAATTAACTCACCCTACCTTGATCTGACGCGCTCGAGAATTTCTGATGATCAATTTTTTTTACTAATCTGATCCTTAATCCTTCACGGGCGGCCTTATATGTGGGGCTCATATTTGATGGAGGTACTTAACCGGGTACAAGGTATCTCCCTGTATATTAATCTGCCGCGCTTCAGTAAATCCCGACATCCCCGCTTGGGCTCCCCTATTATACATATGAAAATCGACTTGTGATAATGGAACTGAAAATAAATGTAATATACGGCAGCAACTGAGGTATCACCAGGTGTAGCATGCGGATAGGAATTCTGTCACAACCTACGGCATTACTTTTGATTTTATTTATATATCTCATGACTGTTTCACTATCAACAGTTTGAAAGGAAAAACCATTTTCAGAAATGTGAAGCTTACCTCTCACAAAGATCCATTTGATGTTCTCTTTTATTTATGATGAATGCATTTGTGAAACATTCTTCAGTTCTGGATGTATGGCAGGAATATACTGAGCGAGCTAGGCGTACTCCAGGTAGCCCTAGTGTTTGTTCTGCTCGAAACATGATTCGAAGGTACAGCTGTTTCACGTCGAATTGTATTACCAACGTTATCATGGAGAGATTTATGATAATTCCAAGCACGGGGAGTCCTGTCTTCTAAATTCTTGAAAAGCTTTATTCTTGATTGATTTGACGGATACTTAATGAATATCTATAATTACTAGCAATATTAATTATTCAAAGAGAATAATACAAATCATGAAATTATGAAACAACAAAAATTAATTGGTGATCCGGGGCGACTTCATTGATTCTAGTGGCGCATTTGCTTTTTCAGCTACAGGAAAACCCAGAAAAACCTGCAGCACCACATCATCTGAAGATTTTGATCTGCCCATGTCCTCTTTTTCATAAAACAAAATGTATAGTGTCTTCAGAGGCTCCAATAAATTCAAAACATCGCCAGAACACTTCGTGACACGACTATCGTCAAACTTAAACCAGTTCGTTTTATCTTTAACCAATGCGTAACAATGACCTGATTCAACGCCAGTCCATAGTGAACAATGACTGCATGAAGATTATAATGGTGGTCTGCTAGGTTGAAGTGTTCATCTATTTAGAACTTTCGTAAGAGTTTGGTGCATCCGTCAGAGGTTGAGTCATATTTGAAGATCATCAATGTCTTTATTAGATTGACTGGTGCTTTAGCTATACATGTTTTCTTATAATAGTCAGTTAGTTTGGCGCATGTTTGGCAATACAGTTAATCATCACCCGTTAAAAGGTCCATTTTCAGATGATTCGACAATAAGCTTTGCACGGAGTGGTTATCAGTCATATTAGGAAACGCTAGTTGAAGTTCCAGAAAATCACGTAAGTTTTCGCTACCTCTTGAACATTTACTACAAAGTAAACAAGTGGGGATTTTTTCAGCAAAAGATCTAAGAATATCCACAATATGTAGCTTTCTCAAACAATTCAATTCAAAAACGTTGGAGTAAGTGTGTGAGTTGTAAGTGTGTAAGTGTTTAATTCGCTTTTTCCGTAGTTCCGTTGGGGTGGTCCAGGTGGTTGCGGTGGCCAATTTCTCTATAGGTTCAGGTTGTAAGGCCAGGGGTGGATGTTGTAAGATTTCAGTTCCTTCCGGGATGTAACTGTCCGCTATCTGATTCCCAGTGGGTACTCCTCTAGGATGTCTTGGATCTGCTCCGACGGATCTTCCATTGCTCCCAGGAGTCTGGCTGGGGGAAACGGGAGCTTCTTCCTACGTATCCTTCTGGGGCCTCTACGGGGTGTCCATGGTGTAGTCAGAGTGTTGATAACGGCGGTGTTGTCGCTGCTCATCGTTCTGGTAGCATATCGTCCTTGGAGTTCCTAAAATCTTAAGTTGATTGGTGTAGTGTTTACTAGTATAAGGTTTGAGTTCGGTTGTTGTTCGGTTGTTGTGATGTGGTGGAATAGCCTTGGGGGAGCGAAATGGTATTCAGTAAATGTGCACACATATTTACAGTAGTTTGAAATAAGGTGAATGTAAAGAGGTGTTCATTATAAATGGGTAGCCTAATAATAAACAGGTACAGTACACGCCACGGCTGATGGCGAGCGATCGCGTAGGTATAGACTTTGCCAACTAAATTACTGTTGGATTACGATAAGCCCCTCGCCAGCAAGAGTCATACCTATAATTAGTTTTAATTAGGGTAGCAAAAAATGGAACATGACTTCTTGGTAATTTCTTTTTATATCTTATTCAGTATTATAGGTAGTAAGAAAATTTTTGGCTTTCTACNGCTTCCTTGGCTAAAGTATCGGCAATGCGATCACCTTCACTCCTGTCGTGCCCTTTAATCCACCTCAGGATAATGTTATCATCTACCGAGGCTTTGGCTAAATCTTGGTGGCACTCTAGTACTAGCCCTGAGATAACACGTTGTTTGTTCAATGCTAGTAGGGTTCGTCTGCTATCAGTGCAGATTGTTATGTTTTTGCCAGAAATGCCTTTCCTGGTTATTTCTTTTGTGGCGATTGAGTTACCAGCCAGTTCTCTGTTTGAACGTCTGTGGATGTTTCATTTTCCCAATATCATCGCTCTATATCTACTACATGTCGGCAACGCTTTTGCCATTCCTCGGGAGTGATTTGATCAAACTCGTGCTCCGCCAATTTCCTCACATCTTCCAACTTGAAAATTATATTCTTTTGGAACACATTGTTTTTGACAGTAGCCCAAATGAGTTCAATGGGATTAAAATCCAGATGGTAAGGTGGAAGTCGCAAAACCTTATGCCCGTGTTCAAGCAGAACATCATCAAATGTGTATCTAATACAATGATTTTTATTTACCTTGATCAACTCGTAAAATTTGGGTTTGAGCATGTTAGGGGTGAACATAAAGCTTTTTTCGTGCAGCCACTTCACTATGTGAGGCTTCCTAGAATTTGTGTTGGGGACTGGATTAATTCGAATATTATGGTATGGGGCATTATCGGTCACGACTACCGAATTCACAGGTGAATTTGGGATAAATTTTCTTGTAATCATTTACCATAATTTTTGGAATTTATTTCTGAATGGTAATCCTCTGATGTGCCTGATTTAAATGTAAGCCGCCATTGAGGTATGAGTCTTGATCCCTTTTCGATATTTTTTAATAACTGTTTGGTTGAATCATCCGTCCAGTTCGTCATTAATTATGTGTTGGAACTTTTTTACCGTAATACAACACCTCTGTTGGCCGCTTTTTTTTAGAGTGGAAAATTTTACTTCTGCGTTATTTACAGAAATTATTTGCACCCCTTCTTCAACCACTCTTTCAATGGTTCTTATTGAAATACCCAATACAAAATAAAGATTTGTGTTGAAATAGTTATTTT